AATGCCTTATTGATACCAACTGTCGGTGTGATAGATTTGAGATTCGCGCCGGTATTTAAAGGAAGTCTGGGCGCAACGCTTTTATTTCTTAATGAGAGTCATATAGGTTGGTGCAAACGAAATCCTCGACGGGACGCAAATATGACGCAGTACAAATCCGTAAAAACATTAGTTCAGATTCAGTCAATCTCCCGCCATCACCTTGGCTTCTCAGCCAAAATCCACTTCAGCGACACGACTGGCCTGGATCCTATACCTTGCGCCCAATGCTCGGTGTAAGAGCAAACTGGTGGAGATCTTTATAAATTTTACGCCATCACGCTGATACTACATCGCCCTTACCGTAACCCGGCCGACACGCGATCTGCCCGCGTAATCCATGACAAATCTCGTACCCTTGGACATCTGAAATAAAGATGATTTTCAACCTTGCTCCTTTTCTAATTTTTTCGCTGACTTTTTCTGGCAACTCTCTGCCGATTTTCTGACCTTATTATTTTTCGAACTTTTCCCGATTTTTCGAACATTTTCAGCAAATAATTTCGGTGGGTTTTCAGACAGTATTAACGCGATGGCCGCAGTAAATTTTATGAAGCAAAGGAGATCATTTGTATTCATATATATGGCCAGACCAAAAAAAAATAACATGGAATTCCTTTGTACACCACGGCTACTCGTCGGGAAAATTGTCGACGAGTTCCGGTCCGGCACTCATCCTGCGCCACCACAAAGTCGTCCCTGTTTGCGACGCCTGAAATTTTTGCTTCCTTACGGTATAAGAGCAAACTGTCTTACCGGATAAATTGTACGGGCTTTTACGTACCATGACGACAATCTGGATCGATTTCTGGTGCCAGCCAGTAGCGACAGGGCTCTGAGGATCGAGATTCAAATTTTTGTTACTAGGCGCGTAGCGTAGCGCATACAGACCTTTCTGAACGATCCGATGTCCCCAGGACGGGACATAAAGCGCCGGATGCCGGCTTTTCCCTTTGCTTGAACACCAGCGCCCTAAAATGGTCCCTCATTGAAGTCCATCCCAAAAACCCAAACTGATCAATCAGGCAGGAGGATGCCCCGGCTGATGCCCTTCGTAAAACGCTTCTCCTTGTAAGTCGTTGAGGACGCAGCCCCGGACCAGTGGCAAAAAAAACGTTGCGTACCCACAAAATTCGCTTTCAGGCGCAATCATACTTAACCAGCATCGGGTCGCTGCCGTTGCTCAGGCCGTCATCATCCTGGAATTAAAAGATGATAGATGCTGTAGAGGCCAAAAACGCCGTGTCGAAACTGGTAATCGAGGCAACTGGGATACGATTGGTTGAAATCTGAAAAATCTGGCTCGGGAAAACTCTTGATATTGCCAGCGCAAAATTCTGAAATGGGATACCCGGAATTTTCCACATACCGATTTTTTCGTTACATCTCTATAACCTGACACCAAGCAGAGCTGAGTCCGGCATCTTCCGATCAAGCTACGGAAAATCACGGGCTTCACGGAGCCCGCGGGCTCAGCATTGGAGAGATGAAGACTTCTTCCCCAGGCCCGGCTCCAGGACCAGAACCCAAATCTATAGCGAGGATTTGAGAAGTCTTAACGATTGTAACACTATTTTTAAGTTTCTCAGTGCCTCTAGTCAGGTCGGGCCCAAAGAAATGCTAAAAAGATGTGACATATGGAAAACTCACGCAGAAGCTGCGGGTACTTACGAAGCTCATAAACGTCTGAAACAACTAGAGAACTGAGGGGTAGTGTTGTAGGAGGAGAATTAATGTAAAATTTAATGAAAATACAAAAAATTCATTGCAAAATACGAACATTGACCGTTGACAGCTGATTCAGGTCAAAATTGCTGCCCATTTTCTCGACTAGAATATCTCGCCGTTGCAGATGGAGCGGCGCGGGGTGGGAAGCCGCGATTGTAGGAGGTAAAGCCGCCGGCGGCCGACTAAAATCATTAATCAAGTTCTAAAGCTTAAGCTAACCGGGCTTTCCGTGAAAATCTTCGGGATCGACTTGTTTTCGCTTATCGCAGGTCGCAGCGATTTTTGCTTGAGCGGCAGGTTGCGGTAGAAGTAGCTGAAAAGACGACTCAAAAATCGCTATCGGAAAACCTACCCATAGGTGTCAAGCCGATAGCGAAGCAGCGGGAATTTCTTGAACAGGAATGTCGTCAGGAAAATTCGTACGCCGAGTGCGGCCACTAAAAGTGAAATGGTAAACGTAGCAAAAAAAATTAAGAAAATATAGCTAACAAAATAGAAAATACTTTTCAACACGTACCACACCATCCAATGCACGTTCCAGTCGTGAAGGCGAGCGACCAGGCGAGCCAGTAAACGAGAAGCCCGTAGAAGATCTTGGTCACCTCGGGGTCTCGCCAGGTCAACAGCCTAAACCATGGATTGGAGGCAACAAAAAAAAAATGGACTTACGCTTCGAGCTTTTCCAAGAAGCCTGCTGCCAAACTCAACAGTCGCTGCCCGACCTTGGCCACCTCGTAGATCACTTGGGCGCCGGTGATGTCAAATTTTGGCATCGAGATATCTTTTCTGGGCAGGAAGTTGAGGCCGATGTCGATGTTTCTAAAAGACCGCCAAAATTAGGTACTGAAAAAGCGTTCACTTCTTCGACTTCAGGTAGTTGAGGCTCAACTGCAGCCAGAAGAGCGCGATCAGCAGCGAGGCGAGCCAGCCGCGGTAGAGGGAGTAGAAAAAGACCTGAGCACCCAGAATTTAATTTCTACGCTCACAAGGGAAGTGCACCGACCGGCCCACGAGAAATCGACACGAGACATAGTGGATCTGATAGCATCGGATACGGGGATTCCGAATCTGTAATCAGAATTTGCTAAATAAAACGGAGAAAAAAGTTATGAAGCTTCAAAGTTGGCAAAATCGCCCAAAATCGGACTTTTATGGGCCTGTAACGGCCCAGGGAATGGAAATTTGCCACAACCCATTAGTGCATCTTGTTCAGCAGAAAAAGCGCTTTTGAATGAGTTATCTTACTTCAAGTTTACGATGATTTCGCGGAAATCTCTTCTATGAACTTGACAGGCCATACCCTGGCCCGTGAATCCAAAACAACTTTTTTCAGTGAATTGTTTGCAAATGCTACGTATTACAGCTCATTCGAAAGCACTTTTTCTGCTGAACAAGCTGCACTAATTCTTTTCTCCTCAATTCCGCTCCACCGGTTTTTACGGGCCCTTAAAGATACCGTTTTTGGCGATTTGGCCAACTTTGAAGCTTCATAACTTTTTTCTCCGTTTTATTTAGCAAATTCTGATTACAAATTCGGAATCCCCGTATCCGATTCTATCAGATCGACCATGTCTCGTGTCGATTTCTCGTGGGCCGGTCGTGCACTTCCCTTGTCAGAAACTGACCAGCATCAGAAGCAGCGTGGCTAGAGGATTCTTCCAAAGTAGCAGATCGTAGAGGGCTGCTGCGCATTGGATGAATGGATGGCTGGCGGCGTCTAAAAAGATATATATTTCGAAAATAAACAACCACAAACTGCATTGGACAGATATAAAAGCAAATACTCGCTTTTATTTTTAAAAACTCACAGCATCTCCTGATATCCCGTCTCAGCTGGACGGCACTCAACCGTGTGTTGTCCCCGCTCATGTCGTGGTCTTTTTGTGGGCTCTAAAAACCAGGTTTGTTGAAGAGCAAATTTTACCTCGAATGCTTCAACAATGTCTTCCAAGAAGTGTGTACCCTCAGCCCGCACTCTCATCCAGATCGAACAAGACGGTCCCGGGGAACATTCTAGAGCTTCATCGGCGCTGGAGATGCTGGTGCTCTCATCGGGGAGACAGGGCAGGCTTTCTCTATAAAAATTGTAACCATCACAAAAACCGTAAAGGCCAAAACCCTAAGCCAAAAAAATTCGAACCTGATGACATACGGGCGTGGCGAGGAGTCCTTGGGCCGGTGAGCCGAGCGAACCATTTTTCTGAATTTACGATGATGTCTGGGAATTGGTGGGGCCATATTAGCCGGGGTTCCAAGGAAATTCTATAGTTTCAGGGTATTTGAAGGGCGAGGCGATTTGTTTGTTGATGCGTCATTATCAGCGTGGGCGACTAGAGGCTTGCCGATAATAAAAGGCGGCGGTTTTGGAAAGTACTCCGGTATAGTCGGTAATCAGCAGAAGCATAAACACAAAACAGCAGCGCCTGGCGTGAAAATGAAATTTCTTCTAGGTAGAATTCCTTCTATTTTACAGACACTCCCCTTCATCATTTCGAAAGTATGGCGCAGGTAATTTACGGCCAAAAGCTTATCGTAGCCTCAAAAAAACGTGTTTTACATCTATTCTACAAACTTTAAAACCCCCAAAAATTGATACCTATTATTATCTTCCTGCTTCTCCTCGTCCCGGTCCTCGTTTCCGCCGTCGAAATCGGCGGTGAGCGCGGAGACTGCAAAAATATATATTAAACATTTTTAAGGCGCGAACGGCACGAGACGGATGAAAAGCTGCGCTGTGTAATAGCGGATGTGGAAGAGCCGCTGAATTGAGTGGACATGCAGGCACAGACAAACAAATGGCTGTGACAATGGCCTGGAGGGGGGATGGGGAGAACAAGTTTGAAGCAGCTTTTGCTTGTGAAAATTCTAGCCTACTTTTTTAGCCTTCTAGAAGCTACATAATAAGCCAAGAAACCTAAAACAGAAATAAATTTTCTAATTTTTGGGTTCTAAACGCGAAGACTCGTGGGAGCGCGCGGTCGATCTTGTTTTTGCTTGCCTACTTCCTTAGCTTTATAAAGAGTTTCGAGATAATTAACTTTCGAGATAATGAACTTTCGAGATAATTAACTTTCGAGATAATGAACTTTCGAGATGTTTATTTTCGAGATGTTGATTTTCGAGATAATGACAGAACCCCACAAAAACTAAACAAGCAATATCTAAACCAACAATTCCCGAATTTTCAGGGTCTGAAAACGAGAGGTCGGGCGAGAGCGCGCGCTTGGAAACAAGTTTTGATGCAGCTCAGCCCTGCAACACACCTAATCACCAGCGCTAAAACAGCTGGCTGGTATACGTGGAAGAAAAAGTCGCAAAGTGGATGGCCTTCAGGCCGGAGGCTCGAGATTCGGAACAGTCTAAGGAAGAGCGGGTGCAAAGAAAAAGCCGATACGATGATTGAACCGGTCCCGTAGGCACCGGCGCTCCTTGAATCCCCCCGCCAGCTTTCCGTTCCCCCGCGGCAAATTTACATATACCAGCAGCTGGCGGCTAAAGTGTTTTTGGACGATATAAACTTGATGAACGTCGCTAGAGGGGAAAATTAGAGAAAATAGGGTTCTGGCTCGTTTGCGGGGGAGGGAGGGGGGTAGGGCTGTTGCCTAACTCAGCTTACGTAGTAATAAAACAAACTATATTGCTAGTATTTTTTAGCAGCTTTCGTTTACTAAAAACCTAAAAAGATCTTTTAATTGGAAACCTTGAACTTTTGTTTGAGAATTCACTAGCGCGGATTTCCACAACGGCGGATGTGGCACAGGTCGCGCAATAGCAAGCAACCGTTCAAAACCGAATTCCATGTCGTAATTCAAGGTTTTCTTTTCGTAAAACTCAAAGGAATGTTTACAAAAGAAATATTTATCGAAACAGAACAACAAAAACTATAAATGTTTGGTAGAAACGAACAATAACAACTTTTTCATCCATTTTCAACGGGATTCACCTCTGCGGCTATCTTCTGTGCTCTTTCCTGCGCCAGCAAAGCATTTCGTGCCTTTTTACTTTCGAGTCGATAATTTTCAGAAGCTTCTCTGATTGGGGTATTTTTGGACTTGGCAATTTTTGCGAGCTTTTCGTGCTTCTCTTCAGTCGGAAATTCTTTTATCTGATTTGACAGATATTCGTTTAGAGCCTGGACCTTGTCGGTGTTGCCTGAGGAGCATTAAAAAGCATTGAGTATTGCCTAAGCCTAAGCATTAATAAGCATTGGGTGATAACGATTTACACTTTATACTTCGTTGACTGGAATCAAAAGTGCTCAACAGCTTTTTGTCGTCGTATAGAAACCAGCGTCACATTCCGAACGCATAGTCGAGGGCTAGATGGCTCGACGACTCCACATGCTTCTTCCTCTCATGCTCAAGGAGGCTTTTCAGAGTGGAGTATTGATTCATATTGCAGGCAAATCCATCCACCTCACTTGCATCTTCTACGTCTCCGGCAAAGATAATCCATCGTGCTGGTAAGGATGCCTGCGCAAAGTGGTATGATAAGGGTGTATAGTCACAAGCAAGTGATGGACAAGCCAGCTGCTTACGAGACATTAAAAGTGAGCATTAAGCATTTTCAAACGTGCTCCAAACAATTAATCTACAGAACCGCTAATCAGGTATGAAGAAGAAAGCCGCAGAGGTGAATCCCGTTGAAAATGGATGAAAAAGTTGTTATTGTTCGTTTCTACCAAATATTTATAGTTTTTGTTGTTCTGTTTCGATAAATATTGCTTTTGTAAACATTCCTTTGAGTTTTACGAAAAGAAAACCTTGAATTACGACATGGAATTCGGTTTTGAACGGTTGCTTGCTATTGCGCGACCTGTGCCACATCCGCCGTTGTGGAAATCCGCGCTAGTTGAGAATTCATGAAAATAATGAATTTTTTTTCGAAAATTTGAGTCTCTAAAAACGTCGAAAAATAGTGCCTCTAAAAACGGCGAAAGTGCCATTTTTCATTCTAAAGCGTTGATCGAAAGATTGCGAACGTTAGGTTTCTCCGCGCGAATGAATCACGGCCAAAAATACACCTAAAATCTAGAAAAAACGATACCTGGCAAAATTCTGGGCCCATCAACGAGGAGTCGAATAGGAAAGTAATTAGTCGCCGGCATTTTTTAGGTAAATAAACCAGAAAACTCTATGGATAATCGACCACTACCCCGAACAAGCCGTATCTAATGCAAGAATTTCCTAGAAAACCCTACAAAACAGCCACGCGAAATGCATTGCCAATCTAATGACTCAGTGACGAGCCATAACGCCCCACGGGGTTTTGCCAGAAGCGCTTGGTGTCGAAATCGGCGAAGGTTTTGGGCTTGTTGAGGGAAACGTCATTTCTTCTCATTTTTCTTCCCGACGTCCACCTCGGCAAAAAAGGGCTGAAGGGGGGACAAAGTAGATGGTTATCGGCCTCCCGCAGCACAGCCACTCCGTATTTTCTCGGCTCGACAAGCAAGCCGAGCCTAAAGCCCGAAATTTATAGCAAACAACGCGTATTTTGAAGAGGAACCAGAGGTTAGGGTGACGAAGAAGACGGAAAACAAGGAAAGGACAAAAACTGTAGCGAAGTGAGAATTTCCAAGGAGCGCTCAGATACTGCGCGTTGAAAGGAGCAAGGTGTGTAGTCTGTTTCGAAACGTAGGGCTATTACAGGATAATACAAAACCGGAACTATATTCAAGATTTTAAGGCAGTAGAATTACACAAAATCTGGAGGATGTTCCAGGCGCGCGCAGAGTCTGCGTGCTAAAAGCAGCATCGTGTAGTTCAAGTTCTACAAACGCAGTGCTACTATGTACAGTAGAAACTTGCGGTTTTTGCAACTCCAAACCGGAAAATGAGAATATTCAAGGCGCGCGCATAGTCTGCGTGCTAAAAGGAGCTGGATGTAGCCTAAGTTATAGGAACGCCGCGCTACCATGTACAGGAAAAGACACTTTTTTCAGCATTAAAACCCAGGAAATGATATGATTATAGGCGCACGGCGTCTGTATGATAGGAGGAGCTTCATGTAGTCTAAGTACGCTACTATGAACAGTAGAAAGATGTGGTTTTTGCAATAGCCCAAAAAATGAGGAAATGACCGGCAGCCTAGAGGGATGGCGGGGGGGGCTATTAGCAATGTCTCGAGAGCGCCCACCCGAAATGGTCAGACCGTGGTGGTGGATCAAGTGGTCTCCTTTCGGCACTTTCTTTATGTTCCGAGGGGAGGAAGCGAATGGAGTGCGGGGGGGGAAGAAAGCACGAGCTGTCCCTCCCCGCTCCTGAAATGAGCCGGAAATGGACTGTGAAGAGGCTGAGATTTCCAAATTTGAACTCTTCAGGTGGGTTCGGGTGGTTAGCTAATAAGTTTCGCAGATAAAGGTATTGGCGAATTTCGGCGGTTCTTTCGCATTATCAGCCGGGCAACAACTTTTTTCTAAGGATCCAATTTTTGGAATATAAATAAAGGTTTCTAACCTGTTTTTTACTATTTCTAGACGTCAAAACTTTACACGTTTTTATGAAAAAAATAAAAATATAGATTTCGGGCCAAAATCTCAACTCCAAAAATTTTCTAATTTTTTATTGTATTTTTTCGCTTAAAATTTCGTTACATTTTACTCGTGGCACTATTAAAACACTTGTTACAAGACATTTCTGGAATTATAGAAAAAAATGTGAGCAGCTCTCGATTTCTACCCAAAAATGTCTAAAATTTCAAGTTTTTCTAACCTGTTGTGAGTTTTCAAAAAAGTTGTTGATTTGGAGATGTTTTAACTGAACCTTTGAAAGTTGCGGAAAGGCTTTTGGCATGGCCAAGGCTTTAAAGCGATGGGTAACCCCGTTTTCAACCACCCAAAACACCGAAAACACAACCAATCGGTGGCAATAAAACAAAAACGAGTAATCTTACGAAATTATTGCCCAAAAATGGCCAGGTGCAGCTGTGCATAGCGCCAGCTAACCAGCTCGCCGGGGTAAATTATCGTGAAAAAGTACAGCGCCGGCTGGGAGCCGTCGCCGGGGTGATGCGTATCCCCGCGTAAACGAAAATAAATATGCACGCCCAGAAATAGCGGCAATAAGGGCCTAAGCAACGCGACGCTCCATTCGTCAAGAAAATGTATGGGGCCCAAATTTCGAAGCCTTATAACTTCAAAACTAAAGGGAATCTTAAAAAAGTCGATTTCCAACTTTGTAGAATGGGACACGGCGATTCTAATGATACCAAGAACTAAGAAAACTGAATTCAAAAAGTATCGAAACGAAGGCGATTTTTATTTCGTTTGAATTTGGGGGTATTTGCCGGGCTTTGCAGGGTCGTTTGTATTGGTGTGTAGCGAACGGCCCTGAGAATGAGATAGCCTATTGAAAACTTAAAAGGCTTATAAAAATCTGCTGCTTCATTGTTAAGACATGTCCAGTATACCAAAAAATTCTCCTTTTTTCGGGCTACAAAACGAACGACCGGTCAGGATGCCTACATGCCAAATCGCTGAGAAAATTACGAAAAAAGTCGAGCCACCTATCCTTTTGTCACAAACTGTAGTAAGAAAGTAAAAGGAAACGCCTGGTAGTGATTCTATCGCCAAATTATATTTTATTTCACTTATCTTTTACATTTGCCTGTTCGATTACCCAACTAAAAGATTCGAACCCAATGTTGCTTGCCGTTGTGGTACGTACGTGCCGTGTAGCGCCCCGTAGCCTTCAGCCTCAAATTGCCGAAAATCTATGCATTTGAATGGGCGTGTATGAGGGATCTCGGGGTGGGGGATTTCGGAGGAAATGAGGGGAGG